GGATTTGTTTAAAAATTTAAATAATTCTATTAATTCATTGGCTAATAAGACATTGGAAGAATAGGATTAACTTAACTTGTATTTGGAGTATTTGGAACATAACCATTTAATTGTTATTGCTACATTTGAGGTTATTAAGTCTACGATTTAATCTATATTTATGGTTATTAAGCTGTTTATTAATATTATTATTAATTATATTAACCTATAAATTTAAATAAAAAGGAAGTTATTTTTTTAAATAAAAAAATTGTCAAAAAGTTATAAATACCAGCTATTCCTGTCTAATAACTTGGTTACTAATATTAATTATATTGAGGATCTATTTAAACGAAATTAGTATGATTTTATTGATTATATGGTAGTCCTAACTAAAATATATAAAAAAATAAAATTAAAAAAATATTATTGTAGTAATCTTAAATATTTATAATCTTAAGAAATTTCTGAAATTAAAAAAGATGAATATTAAAAATTAAAAAAACATATTTCAAAAATTAAATTATAATTTAAAAAAACTTGTTAATATTAAGAAGGACCATTATAAACGAAATCATTTGCATATTAATTAGGATACTAATCTTATTTAAACTCAATAACTAAAGTAAAAAAAATATATATTGGAAAAATATTATTATTTTTTATTTTATAAGTTACACATCCTTTATAAAGTATTTGGAAATAAAATATTTTGCATTGATTTTTTTGCATATTCAGCAGATTCATATGAATTAAATTCAACTTCAACTATTTCTCTAAAATTTATATATTTTTGATAAGTGGATGAGATATTATTTGACAAAAATAAAATTTAAATTTTACGGTTCATTTTTTTGATTAAAAAGAAGTCTTGAACCTAAATATCCTTTAAAATCTCCGAAAATTTTTTAAATGTCTTCATGGGTTATGTTAATAGGAAAGTTACTAACAATTAATGTGGTTGTATTCATCATTTTTGGCTTTTATTTGATTTTGAAAAAAACAAAAAATAATAACTTAAAATATTAATTTTATATATAATTTATTATGGATATTTTATTTATTATTCTTTCATTTAAAAAAATGAATTTATAAAATATTTAATAATTTAATAGAAATAATATAATTTTAATAATTTCTTGTTTTTAATTTAAATAAATTTATTAAGTATTTTTTATATTTTATTATTTTCAAAATAAAATATAAAAAAAAACTCTGTAATATAATTTAAAAAATAATTAATTTTATAAGTTTTTTAAAAAATCTCTTAATTTGTATAGGTTGGTTTATGGAGTTTCAATATAACATTTTTATAAATTTAATTATTGTTTATTGACTTTTAAACTTATAAATAATGATTCTTATTTTTTTTTATCTTTATTATTTTAGTATCTATAAATTAATTTTGATTTGATTATATTCAGATAAATAAATATTTATCAAATTTCTATATAATTTTAATAGATTTTAATTTAATATACATATACACCTACTAATATATATTAATTTTAACTTTATTTTAATTTTTTACAATAAACTTTAGATATTAGATATTATAATATAAAATATATTCTTTTTTTTATATTTTACTAAATAGAAAATAAAATTTATTTTATATTATATAGAAACAAAATTTATTTAATATTAAAATTAGGTTTTATAAAGATAAAAAATAAATAAATATATAAAAAAGTGAAAAAAATTAAACAAATATAAATTTTTATCAACACAATAAAGTATTATTTATTTTTTTAAATAAAAATAATTTTTTAAAATAAATGCAATATTATTCACAATAAACTTGAAATTATATTTTTTTAATTATTTATAAACAAATTATAAATCAATTTCTTAAAAAAAAAAATTGAAGCTAATAAATACTAATAAAAAACATTAAAATGAAATTATAAAATGAAATTTAAAATATGCAATGTAAAAAATATACTTTTAGAAATAATTATCGGACCTAAAATGTAAAATAATTAATTTTTAATAATTAAAATCAAAGAAAATGCAAAAAATGCAATAAAAAAACTATAATTTAATATAATAGTTGAACTTTGAAAGAAAGTTTTTAGTATTAGAAAAATAATTAATAAATACAAATTTAAAAATTATACTCTTAAAAAAATTTCGTCGATCGATTTCTATTTTATAACGAAAATGATCTCTATTTTTTACAAAAATGTTAAACAACAAAAGAATAAATTTTTAAATAAAATAAAGTTTTTTAAATAATCGAAAAAAATAAATAGATTAAGTAATGTAATCTGATAATTTAAATAATAACTATATCTATTAAAAGAATTGCAAAAATTAAGATAATTAGGGAAAAGAAATACATTTTAGTTAATGTAATTTCATGGATAGAATATATTTAAATAAATTATTAATTAAAATATTAGTACAACTAAATAGTATTAAAATTATAAATAGAATGTTTATGAACTTAATAAATAAACATAAATTCATTAAAATGTGTAAATAAAAAAATAAGTAAAGTGAGAATATAATTTAACTAAATCTCTTAAAAACAATTATTAATCGTTTCAATTAATAAATTAAATAATAATTTACTTAAATGAAAATCTTATAAAAATAATTAATAAAAAACATAATGAATTATTAAACCTTTATAGAATGCATAATAGCAATTAAAAATTTAGTACTTAAAGTAGAAATAAGATTATAGATAAAATCCTAAAGTTATATTAAAAATTAGAAAAGAAAGACATAAAAGATAAAAATAAGAATAAAAATAGGACATAAAAATAATAGATTGGTAAAATCTTAAACTAATGAATTTTTTTTAACAAATTGTTTATTAATTTTTTATTTGTGTTATTTTTTTAAAAAAAACAAATAGAAATTTGATATATAATAGTAATACTTATTTATAATTTAATCATTTTTATTATTAAAAATCAATATGAAATAATATATTTTATATTTTCTTAAAATATGCTAATATTTTTATTGTAAAAGTAATAATAATTATATTTTAAAATTAAAGCATTTCTAAAAATAAAATATTATAAAATAATGAATAAATAAAAAAAGTAAATTCTTCAATAAAAATAATTTTAATTTTAGAATACTTTTTATATTTAATCATATAATAATCTTCATAAAAAAACAAATAAGTAAAAAAAGCTAATAACTAATAAATACCAAAGTCTTTAATAAAAAAGGTTGTGTCAATTATATTTAAAATAAAAACTTATAATAATAATTTTTAAAAAAATTTAAACAAATAATTAGTTTGTCAAAAAAATAGGAATTCTAAAAAATGATTGCCCCAATAAATAACGTACTTAATTTTAAATATATTTTTATTTTATTAATTCATTTTTAAAGTTAAATTGTGCATAAATAATAAATATGCAAATTAAAAAATAAAAAATGCTATAAAATGATTAAAAACAATAAAATATTAAAAACTAAATTAAAATTAGCAAGTAATTATAATTTAAATAAATGTTATTTATTCCGCATTTGTAATTTAAAGTAAATAAAAGATCACAAATACTCTAAATATTTTAAAATCGTCATCTTATAAGAATTTAGATTATAAATATAATTTATTTTTTAATTAGAAAGTATAATAATTTAAATTAAAAAATATACTAACTTATATTACTAAATAAAGGATTAAAATAAATAAAAAGAATATAAAACAAATAATTATGAATAAGAATTTAACTAACTAAAATTACTTCAATAATTATCAATAAAAAATTAAATTTAACTTCCTTTTATATATAATCCAATATCATAAGCGAAAAAAAATGCTTAATAACATAATAAATAAAAAAATTAAGATAAAGTTTCATAAATTTCGATAATAAAACAAGTTGATAATTCTCAAAATCAAATATATAAAAGGGCATTAAAATTATTTTAATGTAATGAAGAATAAATAATTTATAATAATGCTATTCTTAAAAACATAAATTAAAAGTTAGGGTTAATAATAATATATAATATTAAATAATTTGTTAAATTTAATTATTTAGATTTAATTTTTTATTTTTAGACTTAATTTTTTTAAAGATTAATATATTCATAAGAGTTTGTCACTCGTGCAAAACATGTCAATTGAAAAAAGGGATTTTGAGTTTTCATAAATTGACATAGTACACTAAACAAATATATTTTTATTATATATATTATAAGAATAAGCTAAAAAAATAAATTGTGATGTAAAATTAAATCGGCTTACTGGATTATGCTAATATTAATAAAATTATTCCAAGTAAGTTTAATTATGAACAATTAGTATTAAATTATATTTTATAAGATAGTGAGACATGTAATAGCATTAAAATTTCAAATGTATTTTAAAGTGGATTAAATTAAAATAAAGATTTTTAAAAGATTAATTAAAAAAATAGTATATAAAATAGTTGTTTTATAGCTAATGTAATATATAATTGAATTAAAAAAATTTATTTTGATTTTTTTAATATATAAAGAAAAGTTATCTCAAATCAGAAATTCTAGATTGGAATTCTTCTTCTGAATTTAAATAAATTTAATGATAAAAATAATAAAAAATTTTAAATGTTAATACTATAGCTTTAAAAAATTAGTTATATATTTAACTTTTTAGAATGGTTTTTTTATTTTTTCTGATTTTTTTTGTTTAAAAACTCAAATAAAGAAAAAAAAGTGCCATAATCCTTTTTAATGGTCTTTTTTTTTAGATTGTGTTTTTAAATTAAAATTATTAAAAAAATAAAAAAATAATTCTAATAAGAAAAATATCCATATATATTAAAGTAATTTTTTATTTTTATTGGAATATTTAATTAAAAATAAAATAAAAATAAAAATAAAAATCATAAAAAATTTTTTTTAAAATAAAATATATAATTATTTTATTTTTAATTTTTTATTATTATATTTTATTTATATGTTTTATGATATAATTTAAAATAATATGTTAAAATTATATATAACTTATTTATTACTTGTTAAAACATTGTTTTATTTACAAAAATTAAAATAGATAATAAATAAAAGAAAAAAAATATTAAAAACATAAAGCAAAAAATGGAAAAACCGAAAAAAATGAAATTATCTGATTATGAAATATTTTAAACCTTAGGGACAGGTAAAAAGATTCAAAATAAATTAAAAATTTATAAAAATAATAATCATCATAAAAAACAATACAAATAAAATTATACTTATAATATAAATATTTATTAAATTAAAAAACTAAAAATAAAGGTTCTTTCGGTCGAGTAAAATTATCAAAAAAGAAAGGAACAAATTCATTTTTTGCTTTAAAATAATTAAAAAAAGCTGAAATTATAAGATTAAAATAAGTTGACCATATAATAAACGAGAACACGATTCTTTCAAATATGAATCATCCGTTTATTGTAAAAATGGATGGTTTTTGTCAAGATAGTCGTTACATATATTTAATTCTTGAATTTGTTTCCGGTGGAGAATTATTTACCTACTTGCGTAGTATTGGAGCCTTAGAACCTGACCATGCGTGCATTTATGCTGCATAAGTTACTTGTATGTTTGAATATTTGCACTCTAAAAATGTAATTTATAGAGATTTAAAACCGGAAAATTTATTAATTGCAGATGATGGTTACTTAAAATTAACAGATTTTGGTTTTGCCAAAATTGTTGAAGGACGTACTTATACTCTTTGTGGTACTCCTGAATATTTAGCACCTGAAATTTTGTTAAATAAAGGTTTTTTTAATTAAATATTTTTTATTAATATATATAATTAAAATAAATAAAAGGTCATGGAAAAGCTGTTGATTGGTGGACACTTGGAGTTTTAATATATGAAATGAATGCAGGTATCGATCCTTTTACTGATGAAGACCCTATGGCTATATATTAGAAAATTTTGAAAGGAAAAGTTAAATTTCCTAGAAATTTTGATAAGTAAAAAAATTGCTATATTTTTTTTATTTTTTATTTTTTATTTTTTAGAAATGCTAAGTCTATTGTTAAACACTTATTAGTATCTGATCTTTCTAAAAGATACGGAAATTTGAAAAACGGTGCTGCTGATATCAAAAATCATAGGTGGTTTAGTAATGTTGATTGGAATTAACTTGTATAAAAGAAACTCACACCTCCTTACAAACCTGTCGTTAAGTAATAAAATCATTTTTTATTTTTATTTTTTTATTTTTAAAGAGCACCTAATGATACTTCTAACTTTTCTAGTTATCCTGAAAGTGATACTACTGCTCCTGCTTTAAAACCTGCTGATGATCCTTTTCTTGACTGGTGATTTTATTTATTTATAGGAGAGTAGATTTAATTTTTATTTAGGGTTTTTTTAAATCGAATTTTTGATTATTAATATTTATCTTTTTTTATTTTATTTTTTTTGTTCAAACAAATATTTTGAAATATTTTTTAATTTTATTTTTTAATATTTCATTATTTTCTTTAAATATTTTATTCTATTTATTGAAATTATTTTAATAATTTATAATAATCTCATTTTAAAATATAAAAGTTTAATTTTTAAATAAACAAAAAATCGAATTCATATATATAAATATTTTTTTGGGCAAAAAAATTCAATAGTTCAAATCCATATTATTTTATAAGCTATTATTGTTATAAAAACAAGAACTTATTTTAGTAAAACTTGATTTTTTTATTTTATTTTAATAAATAATGCTATACGATTAATTTTTATGTTTATTATTTTTAAAAAAGCTTTAAGATTTAATGTTTCTATAATTTTATTCAATATCAAATAAAAAGTCAAATTAGGTTTGTGTTTTATTAATATTTTAATGTTCGAATTAAAATAATGAATTTGTTCTATTTCTAAATTTAGAATTATTGGTTTATGGATGAAAAGTGCAATTCTAAATTTCATTTGACGTTTTTTAATTTAACAATTCTAACATTTTTTCATTTTTTAGTTTAATCCATAATTAACTTCTTTAAGAAACAGGATAATTTAGTAAACTTATTTTCTTCTCTTGTAAATTTATCACTTTATCTTAGTTTTTTATTGTCAATTGCTTTTCTTGGTTTATTGAATTTTTATTTCTAAAATTGTTAAATATCTATTAATTAAAATTAAATGAGTTTAGTTTATTTTATTAACTATAGTCTGATTTTTCAGCACTATTTGATTATCTATTATTAATTGTTTGTTATTGTAAGTTATAATTTTAATTTTTATTATCTTCATTTTTTGTTAGAATTATATATTTATTATTTTATAAAACAAAAAGATGCTTTTATCTTTAAAGAAAGCTTTATTATAAACTTTCTTAAGTAATACCCATTCTTTAATTATTTTAATTAACATTTTAGTTATTGGCATTTTTCTTATATTTATTAGAAAATCGTTATATATTTTATTAATTATATTAGTTTTTCTTTGTAAATAATAGTTATTAATTCTAATTCAATTTGTTATTCTCATTTATTTTATTTATTTATATATTTTTTATATGCTAATTATCTTATAAAATACATTCGTTTTCAAATTTTCTTTAATTTTTTTATTTTGCTGTTTAAATATATTATTAAAAATCTTTTTATTAATTGAACATAAAATTAATTTTATCAGTATAAATATTTTTATTATCTTAGTTATTTGTTTCTAATCTTTTTATATCGTTTTTCTGACTAAAATCAAGTTTAAAATCACTTAATTTTAAATATATCTATTTTGGGCTTTAAATTTATTAGGATTTTCGGATTTTGTTTTATTAAACTTAAAAATCATTTTCTTTTTATATATTTTTAAAATTTAAGTATTAAAAAAAAAATATTATATTAAATTGAATTATTTTTATTTTTAAAATACATCTAATAATTATTTTTTTTACATTTTTTTTATACATATGATTCTTCCTGATTTTATTTAGTTAGATTATTCATTATTATTTATCTATTTAATTTTAAAAATTCTATTGTTATTTATTACATTTCAAAATTTTAAATATTTAAATCACACATTTTTTAATCATTTGTTTAATTACTTTTGATGTTTTTTATTATATCTTAATCCATTTTTGTAATAATTCGGAATATTTATTTTGCTATATAACTTTTAATTAGTATTAATTATATTTTAAATAGTTAATTTAAAACTTAAAATATATTATTAATATATATTCGTTAAAATTTTTACATTTTAAAAATTGGAATTGTTATTTATTTAATATTTTTATAATATTTACCTTATATTTAAAAACTATATAATTTTATTTTTTAAAATTCTTTTATTATAAGTTTCTTAAAACGAATCATTGATAATTGTGTTTTCATTAATAAGAGTTAATATATTTTAAATTAAATTATTAATCCTATTAAATATGTTTGATTAGTATTATTAAAATAATAATATTATTTATTTAAGCTTATTCATTAATCTGTTTTTCTTTGATTTATAATTTAAATTTATTAATAATTTTTATAGAATATTCAAAATTAAGTTTATTTTATAAATATATAAATTATTTTAATTATTTTATTTCTAAATAAATTATCTTTTATAAACTTATATATAATACTTTTCAATTTTAAATTTTTAATATATTAAAATTAAATTTAATTTTTTAATAAACAAAATCTAATATGTTTAATATTATAATATAAATTTTACATATATTTTAATACTTTCATATAATCATTAATATTTTTATTTTTCTTTATCATTAATTTAATCAATATTTTATTATTATTATATTTTAATTTATTAATTTTATTTATTGGTATGGCACGTATTGTTCTTTTAATTTACATCAAAATTCGAACTATTTTTTTAATTTCTGTAATATTATAAAAAATTATTATCTAAAATTTGCAATTAATCATTTTAAAAATCAATTTATTAAATAAAAATATTAAAATTATTTTCACAATAATTTTTTATATATTCTAATGCCACTTCTTTTGGTATAGAAAATTCTCTTTATTAATTATTTTGAATATTTTTAGAAATAACAAAAAGAAATGAATTTTCAATTCTAACTTCTATTTCTAAATATTAATTAGATTATTTTTTTACTTTTTTATATAAAGGTAATTATTATTCCAAATTATTATTTTTCTGTTTAGAAATTTTCTAATTCATACATTATATTTTATAATCATATAATTCATTACTTATATTTTATAATTCATTATTTTTGTTTATATCTTTTGTTGAATTTTTGAAACTTTAATTAAATTTACGTATTCTAAAACTATAGGAATTATTTTTTTCTAAACTTGACATTGAATCATTTTATTATCTTATTAATTTATGCTATATTTAAATTGTTTTTGATCTTATTTTTATTTAGTTCATATTATTATGATTTATTTCAATAGAAGGAGTTTTGAATTCTTTTTCTTAATAATTAAACGAATCCTCTTTTTTTAACCAAATTATAATGGATATTAAGATATGTTCATAACTCTATTTTGATTTTTTATAAATTCTTACTCCCATTGTTTTACCGAATAATTACTTTTCTTTTCTTTTAAACGTTTTAATAATAAATAATTTTGGTGTTATACCTTTGTAAAAAAGATCTTTCGTGTATTTATATTTAAAGACATTGGCGATACTGCATTATTTATTATTGCAATTTTACTTTTTTGCATTATGTTTGTTATTTTTTCTAATAAAATACGATTTTCTCTTTATACTTCTGTATATTTATTCTCAAACTGCTATTCTTTTTTTAAATTATTTAATTTATAATCAATAGAATGATATAGACTTTTCCTTTGATACGTTGATTATAAATTCGATATTTTTTAATTGTGTTTTTCTTTATTTTTTTAAAGTTCTTTTTTATAACAAATATGATTAAATATCGGTTGTGCTCTATGCATTTTTATTATTGTAAATATTTAATTTAAATTTTTGAAGTTTTAATTTTTTCTGTTATTTAAAAAAAATTAATTTAAAAAATAAAAGAATATATATATAAATATATATATTTACTTTTATTTATTTTAATTTTTAAATGAATAAAATAAATTGAAAACAAGTACGATTTGGCAATTTATATTTAAATAAAAAATAATTATTATAAAAATATTAAAATTAAAAAATAATTATATTATTTCACTATAAAAATATATAATATTAAATAAATAAAAACTATATATTATATTTATTTCAATAAATTTAATCATTTTAATTATAAGTTATATAATCTTCTAAATTTTATTATTCATTATTAATGTTGATTACAAGCATAGATTTTTAATTATAAGCTTAAATATCAACATTTTTCTCAAAAAAATCTTAATTATTAATAGTATTTAAAATATTATCACTTTAGAATTTGTTATTTTAATTTTTAGAATTAATTTATTAGTTTTTTTCATATTCAATGATATTTTAATTTTATTTATAAGAATGAATTTTATCATCTTCAAATTATTATTAATGATTAATTTCTTACTCTAATAATTCCATGGAGTTATTTTATTAATAATATTAATAATCCTATAATCTAGTATGACAAATATTAATAATATTCGCCGCAGTCTTAATTTTTTCTTTCTACAAAATATAATTATTCCCTTTGTTTTCATCATCAGAACAATTATTACTATAAAAAGCATTATTATCATTCTAATAAAACATATTTTAATTATTGAAAAATTAATTTTCCTCATAAAAATAATCAAAAGAATTATTATTTTAATTCTGTTCTTTTTCATTATTCATTTTATCTACTAATCCTACCATAATTCTTATTTCTTACCTTAACTTTCCATGGTTTGAGTTAATTTATAAATCACAATAATTTTCATTTTAGTCTGCTATTTAATTTTATTCTTAATTTAGAATATTTTTTTATTTTCCCAAATTTTGTTTATCAAATTTAGTTCTCCTTCGGAATATTCATCTAAAAAAGTATTTAATTCGGATTCTTTTTTACATATTATTTCTTTATTCTATTTTTTTTAATGGAACTTTGTCTTTAAATGTTAATTCAATTAACTTTTTGTCGCAAATTTTTTCTAACATTCAGAATAAGGACATAAAAAGTTCACTTAATTACTGTGTTTTATCATATGGTATCTTAAAGCTGCTTTATTTGTAAAACATTAACCACATTCACCACAACCATAAGGTTATTGTTTAGTATGAGAACGTTAATGGGTCTTAAAATTATCAAGTCTTTTAAAATTTTTAGGACAATATGTACATTAATATTAGCGGTAATCATTATGAATTAAAAAATGGCGTTAAAACATAGAATTATATTAAAATTACTTATTACAAATTTAACATATAATATTTTGTTTTTCTTTTTATCATGAAGGAATTATAATTTGTTATATTATGACATATTTATATAAAAACAATATTTAATTTTATAATAATATTATATTGAAATAATTATTATAATTTATTTATAGATTTTTATAAAAAATAAATATTCTTATGCATTATTTTATATTTTAAATATAAATAAAAAATAATAATTATTAAAATTTATAATAATATTAATATATATATATTTATATATATATTTATTTTATATTTATATTTATTTTATATTTATTTTTATATTTATTTTTATATTTATTTTTTTATTTATATTTTTGTATTTTATAATTTTTTTTTTTTTAATGCTTAAATGTATTTTAAAACTTTATAATTTTATTTGTAAACACAATAACCTTATATTTTATTTATAATTCAATTATGTACTATTTTTTTTAATTTTTGTGTTGTATTTAATTTTAAATGAAATTTTTATAATAGAATTTTTTATTAAGATTTTTATTTAAAAATATATCATGTTTAGAAATAAAATAATTTTAATAAAAAAATATCTAAAAAATATCTTAAAAATAATTAAGATATACATTATATTTAGTTTAATTATTATTAATCATTTTTTATTTAAGTTTTAATAATCATATTCAAACTCACGTGTTTCATCAATATTATTAACTATAAAAAAATAAATATAAAATTATTTTTAATTTAATAAATACATTTAGATTATGTATTTTTGAAATTCTATTCTTGATATATTTCATAAAAAATTAATTCGAATTTATTCATTTCATAAGCATTTTACGGCAAAAGATAATTTTTACTTTTTGGAAAATTAGGAGGGGGAAATATGGGATCTACAGCAATTTTAAACACATTTTCAATCAAAGAAGAAATAATTCTATTTAATAAAGGACATTTTGTTTCTAAACAAGGGTTAGTATTAACTTCTATAAGCCATGTGTTATAACTTTCGTCTATCATAAAATCTAAACGAAATAACTTATTTTTTATTAATTTTTTTAACTTATATTTTTTATACTTCAAAACTAAATTATTTTTTATTAGGCTCTATTTTTCTATAAACTGCTTTTACACAATCAGTAGCTATATTCTTTTTTTATTAAAAAAATATATTTCTGTTTTTTAAAAATCCTTCATTTCAATATATGTTTTTTCCATAAAATTATATTTTTAATTATTTCCATTTATTTATTATATATATTTAATAAATTCATTAAATGAAAGTTTATTTCCAGTTTCAAATTTTCAAAATTCTTCACCTTTTTTTTAAACAGCATCGTTTGTTAAATGTATAAATTAATTTTCCAAATTTTTTAAAGTGAATTACTTAGAACTTGTTCTTATATATACTTCTTAATTCCAATATCCTATGTATTATTTTATTATATTTTGTTTGAGAAAAATAAAAAAAATTAATAAATAATATTTTAAATATTTTACCTTAAACGATTCCATTATAAGTAGTAATTAATAGATAACATCTAATATCAAATTTTCTTTACTTATAAAGAAAAGGTCTATCAATGTTTTTTATATTATGAATGTTTTAAGTTTGCAATTATAGTGTAATTCTTTAGAAAAAGCAATATCTTAAATAAGTTATAAATCAGAAGTTACTATAGAAAATAAATAAAAATAATAATAAATAAATAAATAATTAAATAAATAAATAAATAAATAAATAAATAAATAAATAATTTATTTTTGAAGAAATTAAAAAATGAAATTGAATTTTTAAGAATAAATTATGTCTTTAAATTAATAAATAAATAAATAAATAATTTATTTTTATAGAAAATATTTTAAAATTAAATTTAATTTTTAAGAATAAATTATGTCTTTAAATTAATAAATAAATAAATTATGAAATTTAATTTTTATTTATTTTAAAAATATATATTTAATATTTTAATAATAAAATTATTCAAATTATTATTAATATATGTTTCTCATATTATTATTAATATTTTTTTTTTAATTTATAATTATGCAATTATTTAAATATTAATTAATTTACATTAAAATTTTAATTATATTTTTTAAAAATCTATATAGAAAATTATAAAAAAAATTATAAAAAAATTTTAGTCATATATAATTTTAAATTTTTTTCATAATATTTATAGTATTAACTAATAAAATTTAATTAATAAATAAAAATTTATAAATATGTCTTTTAAATATAATATAAATTTTTTATTTTATACTATAACATTTATTAATATATTTTAATAATATTAAATATAGTATATTATAAATAAATTTAAATTAATAAAAAAAATTAAATAAATAAAAGGAAAATATTAAATTAAAATAATAAAATATTTAAAAAAAATATATATATATAAAAATAAATTTAATATTTTTTTATTTCAGAAATATATTTTTTAAGCTTACTTACTATAATTTTTTTCATTTTCTATTTATTAGAAATAATAATCTTCGATTAAAATTTCGTTTTCTGGTCTGGGATATATGATATTAGGGCAGAAACTAGGAGGGCTGAATGGAGGAATTCTTTGATTTTTTAATTTATATCTATAAAATGCTACACTTAATACAAATAAACCTAAACATACATTAATTAAAAAATAAATGAATCCATTTCCATTATTATCTTACAAAGGATTATCTAAATTAGTTTTTACTTAATTTTTATTTTGATTTTCATCAAGAGCTTATTCTTCATTTTATTTTTTTTAAGCATTTTGTTCTTAAGTTTTTTCCTTTTCTGTCAGATTCTCTTTTTTATTTTCTGTTTTTACTGTTTCTTTACTTTCTTACGATTCTTTATTTTTATTTTCTTATTTTTCTTCGTTTGAGCTGCTATTAGTTACATTATTAGCACTTTCTATTTGGATATTATTATTTTTTTCTTTTATTTATTTTAATTACATTCGACTTTCTATTGAGGATCTTAAACTTCACTATTTTCGTTTTTTGTAAGATTTTCTTATGTTACTTTTACTGTTTCTTTATTTTCAGTAATTGATTATTCTTTTTTTTTAATAAAAAAATATTATTTATAAATGTTGCCATTAATATAATTATAAAACCTTTATTTGCTTCACTATTTATTTAAGTTGTCTCTTTTTATTAACTATTTTCTTAAATTGAAAAACATACAAATAGATTAAATATTAATATGATTTTAAATATATTTTAGAGTTTCATTTTTAGTTTTTTTGTTTGTCTTTTTTTATATTATTATTTTAAAAAAATATAATTTATTTTTTTCTTAAATAATTATTAAATTTTTTAGTTTTTTTATTTAATTTTTAAGTTTTAAAATATAATTAATTTATATAAAATTATTATCTTCAAATGAAATTATTATTTATATTGTATAAAACTTAATACATAATTACATATGAAATAGAAAATGTAAACATTCTAGAAATTTTAAAAAGATAAATTATTTTATATTTTTATAAAAATTAATTTTCATATTGTTTTTTATTTTTACATTAATTTTTTTTAAATAAACATAATACTTATTCAACTAAAATAAGCCATTATCTAATTTTTTTCATATATTTTTTTGTTAAGTTTTTAATAAAAAAGTTATTGAAAAATTAAAAAAACTAATTGAAAATTAATTTATAAATAAATTTTAAATTAATCTAACTTAAAAATACTAAGCATATATTATAATTTATCTTTATCTAAAACAATTTCTCTTCTAGTTATTTATTTTGATCTTTAAGAGCATAATTTAAACTATTAAAATTGATATACTAAATATTAGTATTTATATTTTTAATATACTCTAAGTATGATTTAATTAAATAAAAAATATTATTAATATATAATACAAACTATATATTTATTTAATTTCTTTTTAAATTCAAATAAGAAAAAATAATAATGTATTGGTTTAAAAATAAATAAATTATTTAAAAGCATAAAAATATTAAATATATATGCAAATTTAAAATTTTATAAAAAATAAATAAATAAGAAATTAATAAAAAATATTATTATAAATGTATTTATTTCTCCTTATTTTTTTAGCAATTTTTTTGTCATCTCCTAATAAATTTTATTATTAATTTTAATTTTCTTTATAAATTCAAATCTTTTTTTTGTAATTTTATTTTTTCCCGTGTTTTCTGGATGTTCTTTTTTTATTTTTTCTTTATTATCATCTTTTGTTTTTTTATTGTTTAAATGCAATTATATTCACTATCTCTAGAATATAAAAACTCATCAATATTTCTAATAAAAACCCTTAAAATACACAATAGATAAAACTTAAATACCATATACCGTAAAAAAAGAAATATTAGGATAATGATTTTGCAAATTAATCTAAATATCAGAAAAATATTGGAAGAAACTATAAATCTTCATCATCATTTCATTTGAAGAAACGGTTTTTTTTGTTTTTTCATATAAATTAATGATTTTATTTTTAATTTAAAAAAAGTATTTCCGAAAATTCCTTTCATAATAATAATTATAGAAAAAATAAAAGAAATTAAATTCTTTACATATTTAAAGATTTTTTCTAAACATTTTTTTTAAAAATTTAAATTAATAAAAATACGATTTTAATTTCATAAAAACTTTAATTTTTTTTATAAATAAAAAATTTCTCTATTTTTTCAAAAAAATTTTCTCCAAAAAAAAAAAAATACAAAATCAAATTTTATTTTTTAATTTTTTTTAACAAAAACTTTCAAGCTTTTCCATAAATCTTGCAAAACATTTTTTTTCCTTCTAATTTGTACACATTAATCCAAAATTTTACTAACTATAGTTTTATTTTAAAGGGTATTCATCCATATTAGTAAAGAGTAATCTTTATTAAGAATACCAAAAATAGTCTAAAGAGTTATCCCCCCCACCCACCAAAAACAGTATTCTTTATTAATAAAAAATCATTACTTAATAATATTTTTGTTCAATTTATAAATCTCTTCTTCCATATATTTTTTACCATTTTTATTCCTTTTCTAATAAAATATTTAATATTTAAAAACTAGAACTCGTTTGCTTTTTTGTATACCTTTTTATTGATGATAACAGTCATTTATATCTTTGAGGATATTATATTACATTTTTTTGTAAAATTATATCTGCTATTGAAGGCAGTCTAGTTAAATTTTCGTCTACTGATGTTATAAAATATATTGTTTCTGATATTTATATAACTCTATATAAAATTATATATATTATTTTAAATAGTAATAAAAATTAATTAATATAATTCTATTATTATTTTTTAAATTTTTTTTTTTAATTTAATTGAAAAAAAAAATGACTAGAATAAATTAAAAATGCATTATCGTCTGTTTTTTTCATGATTGAGTTTTTTTTAAAAAAAAAGAAAAATAAAAAAACTCTGCTAAAAGAAACATAAATGTATTTTTTTAGTAATCCTTCTTTATTTTTTTATTATATTTAATATTAAATATTATTATTTTATATAAAATATTTAAAAAATGCAAATTTTATTTATTATAAATATTAACTTTTATTATACTCATTATCTTTTTTTTCATTCTTTTTTTATATTATTGTCGTTAATTATATACTATTATTAGATTAATTAAGGTTTTTTACTTTAAAAAAGTCTATGATTTTATTAATACTATTATTTTTAAATAAAATCTTTAATATTTTGTTTGTATTCTTCTCTACTATTATTATAATTATTATTTTTAAAACTCTAATTTATTTTTAAAGAATTTTTTTCTTAAGTAGTTGAAAAGCGCCCTTTTTCTTCCAAACAAAAGCTATTATTTTGTTTGAATTAGAACTAATATTAATTATCTATATTTTATGAATTTAAATGACTTTCGTTTGTTATATTATTTTATATAGGCCTCTATTTAGTATTATTTAATTCTTTATTATAATTATTTTATTATATTTACACTTAATTTATACTGAAAGTAGTGTTTTGGTTATAATTTTATTTTTCCTATTACAAATTACGATTATTATTTTAAAAGTTTTAATCTACAAAACGATTTTTATATAAAGCTTAAATATTTTTGCATTTAAAGTCTGCTGGTTCTTGCTTTTGCTATAAATTTTTTTATTAATTTTTATTACAAATAAATTGATTTTATTTTATTTTTTCCGTAATTAATGAAAACATTCTGTTTTAATTCTAAAGTTTATAGTTTATCTGATTGTCTTATTATAATAATTTTTATTTTCTTTGTAATATTTTATGTTATTTAGGCATATTGTTTTAAACATCAGGAACATTTTTAAAACTTTATGATTAATTCTATGGTGAAGAATTGATAAAATTGTCTTAATAATTTTTGTTAATATCTAAATTATAATCATTATTTTAATATTAATTTTAAGCTTTACTTTAGTCTTAAATTAAATTAGTTTATGATATTTACAATAGTTTTTTATTTTCTATCATATTTATATCAATTTAATTTTAATGATTTTCTAAAAAGTTTAAAATCGATGCTCTTAATTTATGAGTATTTTTATGATTTTATATATTTTCTTTTGGTTGAATTTCATATGATTTTTATGAGGAAGAATAAATTGTGCTTTTAAACTTTGTTTATTCTTTATAATATTATATAATATTTTGTATTGATAGTTATTATATTTTCTCCGCTTCTTCTTATTAATTTAAATTAACTAATGATAGTTTCTTTTTAAAAGACTCAATATCATTTGTAAAGTTTAATTTTTGGTTTATTTATTATATTTTATTTTACTCATTCACGATATTCTATATACTATTATTTTACTAATTTTTAAATTAGTTTAAACTTTAATTAATGAATGAGTTCGCTCTTTTGTCTTCTAATATGCTTTTGCTATTTTTTAATATTTTAATATTTTATGGAAATTAGTAATTATTTTGATTTGTTTGATTATTTTATTATTCTAAGTTTTTTTATAAATCATAAGATTATACAAATTTTCTTGTTTAATAGTTTAATTTTTTTTTTTCAATTTATTTTGTTTAGTTTTTGTTGCCTTCGCTTTTTCTTTAACAATCTTATAAAGAATTGCTTTTTTTATTATTTAAATTTTATTATCTTTCTGTCTAAAGACCATCATTATTGTCGTATTTTTATATATTATTTATGTTTGAATTGACAATATATTTATCCATACTTTTTTTATGTTGGAATCTGTTTTGAAAATTAGTATTTTTATATTATATTTTTTTACTTTATATTTAAATTTTAAGAGCTATTTGGCAGAAAATGACTTTCTTCATCAAATTAAATAGAATTATTACTTTAACTTTTTTTAGATTAAGGTGATTCTATACTTTAATTTTTATATTTTTAAATATAAAAAGGTTATTATTAGTTAGGAACATTTGCTTAAGATTCTCTTAAAATAATAGAAGTTTCATTTATATTTAGTTATGAGAAGTATTATAAAGGTGTTTTTTGTTAATTACTTATTTTTTTTTTCATTCTTAAAGATAACTACTCATCATTATAAAATTGTGATTTTGAGGTTAAAAATTCAATTGCTTTTTAAATAATATCGTCGTTTCTGATTTAATTATGGTCACCAGTAACATAAATAATTTTTTTTGGAAACTTTTATATACAGAATATATTTTTAATGTGTTTTAATAAGAAATAAGGCTATCTTCTTTAGAAACAATGAACATAACGGGAATTTGTTTTATTTTTTCGATTTTTTTTAATACACTAACTTCTAGGATATCGTATCCAATATTTTCTTATATTTATTTTCTAATTTTCTCCACTATTAATTTTACTAAAAAATTAGGTAAATTTATTTTTTTATATGCTATTTCCTATATATTTAAATAAGCACTATCTATAACTAATCCTTTTATGTTTTACGGAAATCTATTTTTTTTAATGTTTATTTATTTTATATTGTTTACTCTTATGAATATAATAAAGCACTTACTGCTCCCATAGATCTTCCCCAAAAATAAATATATTTTACATTAAATGCGTCTTTTATGTATTTAACTACTTTATCTATATCTTTTTTTTCAAAATATCCTAATGACACATATTCACCTTCTGAAAGACCACATCCACTAAAATCAAAACAACAGAATGAAAATTTTTTTTCTATTATTTTTTCTGAATATTTTATTCCTTCTAATCTTGAACCATTCATTGAATGCAAATATATTATACAATTTTCATTGTTTGATGTTATTTAATAAAAAAATGAACAAAATAACTTATGATTTCTTAAGTTTTATATTGTAAAATCTATACGTTTGCATTTATTTTTTCCTATTTATATTATTGGTGATCCTTTTTATTTTTTTTGGATTTTTTTATTTTTTTTTAAAAAAAACCTAAATCATATTATTAGTATAATTATCTTTAAGGACATGAAATAAGTTTCCAAATGTTATTAAATTAATCAAACAAATTCATATATATATAAATATTATATATTAATGATTTTAGATTTGAATTTTTTTTTTTTAAATAAAATAAATAAAATATTTTTTGAAAAAAAAGCTGATAAATTTAAAATTCATTTAAATACTTTATTTTAATAGAGTGTTAGAGAATACTAAATTTTAATAGATGATTAATTATATGAAAAATTAAAAGAAATTAAGTTTATAAACATAACTATAGAATTACATTACGATTGAAATTAAAATTGAGCCTTTAAGCCTGCATAATTAAATTTCTATGTGATATTAAGATTAATTAATTTGAGAATAAAAAAGCAATATTTAAAAATGAAATATACGGATTAAATTATTTTTAAAATAAAGAATTAATATATAATTTTATAAATTAAATAATAAATATATATTATAAAAGAAAAAATTATTTAACTATTTCAAATTATAAATATATAATATTACGTATTACATATATTTTATAATAATATAATATAAATATTAATAAAAATTATATATATAAAAAGAAAAGTAATAAAATACAAAAAAAAAAATATAAAAAGAAATAATATAAATACAAAGATATGCCACCTAAACCCTGGGAAGCGAAAGGAAGTAAGTAAAAAAAAAATTAAAAAAAAAGAGCAATATGAATATTTTATAAAATAAAAAAAACTTATTTTAAAAAAATAAATAGGATAAGCAAACTAAAACTTAAGTTAGATAATAAATTAAAACAGCATTAATTTACCATAAACTGATAATTTAAATAAAATGCTTACAGATTCAAATTAGATGAATTTGTCAACAAATGACTAAACATAATAATAATCATAACAATAAACAGTTTAACAAACATCTCCAACAATGAGTAATTATTCAAATTTTTCTAATTTAGGAGGAAGTCCTTATTCATCAGGATTAGGAAGTAGTATGTACGGAGGAGGATTCGGTAACAGCAGTATGTATGGAGGTTATGGAAATAGTATGTATGGAGGATATGGTGGTAGTATGTATGGAGGATATGGAAGATACGGGAGATAAGGAATGGCAGGTCCAAATTAATAAGGAGGTTTTTTGTAGAATAGTATGTAGTATTTAGATAGTTTTGGATTTATGATATAATCTTTGTGCGAAATTGCAAGAACTTTAGAAATGAACGCTTAAGGTTTATAACATTTTTGGATCTCTGCTATTAATTTACTTTAACGAATTAAAGGATGGGGAAATTCTATTTATTAATTTTTTATTAAATGGTTTAAATTTATATTCTTGAAAATAAAGGAAATTTTATATGATAAAGTAAAAATTCTCTTTATGGGAAATAATTCTCAAAATGTTAAATTTTAAATGAAAGTTCTTAACACTGCTTTCAGAATTTCTATATGTTTATTTACTTTATCATTAATGCCTTATGCAACAAAACTTGTTAAATTTGATAATTTTGATGCTACATTTAAATCTATTTAATAAAGTATATCTTGAAATTAAAATTTATTCTTATTTTAGTTATTTTATTAATATTTTTATATTTGTTAAATAATAATTAAATTTATATATTTTATTTTCAGTTTTTTTTATTAAATTTTTTTTCTTTATTATATATATATGAAAATTACAAATATTTATTTTAGTTCTTTATTTTAATATTTTTTGTTTTATTAATTTTAAAAAATATAATTTAATCATTCATCATCACTATCGGAAATATCTAATAGATAATCTCTTTTTTTCATTACTCTATAAAATTCATTAAAGTTTAAGCAGCCATCACCATCTTTATCAGCTTCTTCAAATAGTTCATAAAGTTCATTATCTTTTATATCCTCTCCTATAAAAAATAAAAAAATAACAAAATTTTTTAAATTAGCATAAATTAATTTAATTTACCTATTTCTACTGCAATATTTTTTAAATTTTAGAATGTTATTTTTCCTTATTTTTATTAATCAAATAAATTAAAAATTCTTTCAATTTCTTATTTAGAATTTTTTTAAGCCTTTTAAAAAAATACATTTTTTTTTTAATAATATTAATTATTGTATAAAAGTTTATTTTTAAAAATTTACTAATCTAGGAGCCATTATAATTAAAAATTCATCAAAATTGATAGTTTCATTTATATTTTTATGTAATTATTAAAAAATTTAATTAATTTAATCTTTATTTACATCAATCCCAAAAGCTCTCATAATTGATTTTAATTCTCTTCTATTAATTTTGTTTGTCTATTATTAATCAAATAATTCAAAAGCTTATTGTAATTCTTCTTATGTTTCTTAATCTAATTATATTTATGGCTTATTTTTTTATAATAATTATTGCTGCTTTTGATTGCCTGAATTTTTACCATTTTTAAAGTATTAATTTTAATTCATTATATATTAATTTAAAAATGCAAATAATAAATATATTTAAAAAAAAAATATATTTAAATTTTTTTAAAATAATACAATTTAAAAAGAAATAAAATAAAGATATATTATTATGTATTTAGAATGTATTTTTTCATTCAGATATTTATAAAATATCCATTTTCTAAAGAACTAAATCTAAATAATAAGATTTTTTAATGAATTTTTCCATTCTTTCTCCATGTCTTTATGAATAGGAAATCAAGATTTCCAACATATTTATAAATTCTTATTAAGGAGTACAATTGTTAATTTTATCGTCTTTATTATTTTCTTTCTTTTATTTTTCTTACTTTTTGAAATTTTTACTTAGACCCTCAAATTAATCAATATGTGTATTCATAATAACATAGTTAAGTACTTTTTAAGCAACTTTAGAATACTTTTAAATAGTGTTCATATCCCTTATATAGTAAAGTAACTTATTGAAATCTAATTACATAAAATTGAGGATTAAATTTTATATTTCTTCATCATTTATATTATTTTCATTTATTTAAAATTACATATCGGATACTGTATATATAATTTCATTCTAAAAATTTTATCTGTTAAATAATAATTCAAGTGATTAATGAAATTTACTAACAAAGTTATATTAGAAAGCAACTCTTGCTGCATTTAAATAGTCTTAATTTCTCAAATGTTATTAATAATTATCTTATTATATTAATACTTCATGTTCTTACTCTTTTTTTTTTTATTCTTCTTCTTTTGTTATATCTTGCCAAAAAAATAGATTAGAATCATTTCCTCCTGTTATCATATATTATTTACCTTTTTTAATTTTATTTTTTAATCAAAATATATAATTTTTTTTTTACCAAATCTATCATAATCACTAATATCTAAAGCCCATATTTTTCCTTAGTGCTTATCTATAGTATTAAGACAAGCTCCTTTCTTAGCATTCCAAATCTTAATAAGTCCATCAGCTCCCGTAGAAATTATTTAAAGACCAAAAGAAATCCATTTACATTTAAGGACTGTACCTTAATGGCCTTCCAAAGTACTAACACATTCTCCATTTTCTAGATTCCAGATTTTAATTGTCGAATCTCCACTTGAAGAACACAATAATTTTTCTACAGGTGAAAAGCAAAGATCCCAAACACCTTTTTTATGTCCTTTTAAAACTATTTTACATTATAGCTTTTCTGCATCCCAAATTTTTATCTGTTTATCTTAAGAAGATGAAGCTATTAATTTTTCATTAGGTGAAAAAACAGTAACATTAATTCCTTTTTAATGACCCAATATTGTCCTCAGTGAAGATGTTACATTTTCTGCTTCTTATTCAGGTTTTGATTTTTTAAAAAATTTCTTCATATCCCATATTTTTATATTTTTATCTTCTGAGCCTGTTACAAAGCTATTTCCTGTTTTCGGACTTATGTTTATGCTTGTTATTGGTTCTACATGACCTATAAAATTAGCTAAATGTTTAAATATCCATCCATCTTAATTTTCTTCTTTTATCCATAGTTTTATTACTTTTTCCTTTCCACCGGATATTATATATTATCCAAAGGTATCTAAACATAAAATAAAATCTTAATGGCCTTTTATGAAATGGGTTTTACCATCTTTTAATTCTATTGCTCTTTTATTTATTTTAATTTATTTTTATTTATTTTATTTTACTTTATTATATTTGAATTTGTAGATGAGATTATATAGTCTTTTTAGACATCGAAAAATTGTTAGTTTTTATTGCCTTTTTATTTCCCTATTTTGCTGAACTTTAAATCAGTTATTTCGTCATTAAAACCTACTATTATATCATTTTCTTATAATTTAGGACCTTCTAAATAGTTATAAAATACAATATTTTATTCACAAGTAACTGCACATATTTACTCTTTATTTTAAAGAACCCTAAATTAAGATAAAAATTAATTTTTTAAAAAATTATAAAATATACATTAATTTAATAATTTAATGAGTTTTTAATTATGAAAAATCTTTAATTTAAACTTAATTAGAAGAAATATCAATTAATTTTAAACATCCTTCTTAATTTGCAATAGCCAAATATTATTAAAACTCAAATTTTTTCAGACTTTTTTTTTCGTTTTTATTCTGAAATAAACTGCAGCTTCGATTTCATCATCTACTTATATTTCTGATTATTTTTAAATATTATTATAATCCCAAATGTATATTTTCCCGTCAGAGCTTATAGTTATTAAGTTTGTTCCATTTTCAGTAAAAATTATTTAAGTTATTTAGTTTTCATGGGCAATTATAGATTTTAGTACTGTAGAAACTACCATATCATATATTCTTATTGCATAATCTTCTCCAACACTTAACAAATGTAGTTTTTGACTCTGTGGATGGAAAACAAGTTTTGTTATAGAACCCTTATGCACCTTTTATTTAATTTAAATATCAAATAAAAATACTTTAAATCATTATATGCTTTACTTTATATGAATGTGTTAATATTCCACGATTGACGTCATATATTTTAATAAAACCATCAACAAATCCTATAGCTAAAAATTAACCTGAATTATCAAAAGTCATATCTATAGCCCATTAATCACCAACCTTTATTTATTTATTTTTAATAAAAGATATATTTATATAAATATCTATTTTTACTTTCCAGTAATGAATAATTTATTTCGTTTCTAATGCTAAAAATCTTATTGTATTATTTCTTGTAAATGTCGCTATATATTTATATGATGGGTGTAATGCAAAATTACATAATTCTTCTTCATGCTTTTAATTTTTTAATTTTTTTATTTGTCATTTAAATTATATTTTACATGTTCTATTTGGTTTGTTATTTTTCTTGTTTTTATATCTGTTATCATTATTTTAAAATTGCATATAGATACTATAAATTCTTCGTTTTAAGATATTTGAATTCTTCCTCCTGTATATATGCTTGGTTATGTAAAAATGGGCTCCCAGTTTTTTATTAAATGGTGTTTATTTATTATTTATTTTTCATCTTCTTGTTCATTCTCTTATTCTACTTCTAGTTCTTCTTCTTCTTCATGCTATTCTGAATTTTGAAAATCTTCATCATTTAAAGGTACTATTATTTCGGATTATTATTCTGTAGATTCTTATTCTTCTTCATGTAATTCTTTCTATAGTTATTCCTATAGTTTTTATTATAACTCCTCTTGTTATGAACTTTAATCGATTTCTTCTATTCTTTCGTCTTCTTATTAATTAAGTTTAACATGATTTTTAGGTTTTTTAGAAAAAAGAGATTTAAGTTTTAATTTTTTAAGGCGCTTTTTAAGAAGTAGGTATTATTTTTTTTTAATTACTTATTTTTATTAATTTCTTGCCATTTTTTTTAATAAATTTGATATTAAATAATTTTGACCAAAAAAAATAAACTAATTTTTTTTATTTATTTTTTTATAAAAAAAAAAAAATTAATTAATATTTCAATTAAACAATTAAAAAATAAAAGATAGAAAAATGTAAAGAAGAATAATTCCTATATTTTTGTAATTTAAATATCTAAAAAATATAAAAATCCCATTTAAAAATTTCACAACTAACTAAAATTTTGAAAATTCTAATTTTTTCAAACTTTTAAATCAAGAAGTAGAAAAAAGTAAATAAAAAACGATTCCCGAAAATGAGCCCTCAATCCCTACAGAAGAACTCGAAAAATTAAAAAAAATGTAAAAGTAAATATAAGAAAATATAAATTTAGGTAATTTTGAAGAAGGAATGTAAACATGTATATCTTATATTGAAAAAGTTAAAAAGTATTACACAATAAATCATCCAGCAACATATTCAGCAATAAATAACTTAGCATTAATTTTTAAGATAATTGGCGATTTAGAATCCGCTAAATAGTTATATGAAAAAGTACTTAATGGCTATACAGAGCTCTTTGGAAGAAACCATCCTTCAACAATTATTGTTTTACAAAATTTGGCTAATTTATATAAATAAATGAAGCTTTATGACACTTCTTTAAAATACTTTGAAGAAGTTTTAGCTTACAAAGATTTATAAGAATAAGAAGATAAAAATCAAGCGGAAATTGCTATATGTACTTCCCAAATGGCAGGTTATTTATTTTTATTTAATATTCAAATACAAAATAAGAAAAATTTAAGGTTGCTTAAGAGAATTGAAAAGATATGATGATGCAATTAAAATTCTGGAAAAATCTTTATAAACTTTAATTTAAAAATATGGTGAAAATAATCTTATTACAGCAAATTGTTAAAATAATTTAGGACTAACTTATAAAAAAAGTGGAAAATTTAGTAAAGCTGAAGTTTTATATTTAAAATCTTTGAAAACAAGAGAGTTAATGCTATCAAAAGATCATCCAGATATTATTGCTAGTAAACATAATTTAGCTGAACTTTATATGGAAACTGATGATAAAGAAAAAGCTGAAGAATTTTTGGTTGAAACTATGGAAGCTATTAAAAGAGTTGAATAATCTTAATAATAATAAAGATCTAAATGATTTTATTTTTAATATTTTAATTTAATTTGTTTTCTCTTTTTCTTTCCTTTTTCACTTTTTTATTAAATTATATTGAAATTATTTATATTTTTGCAAGATTTTAATATGTATATAATTAGTTTTTAAAAAATAAAAAAAAAATATAATATTTTTTTTATTTTAAAAAAAAATATTTTATTTTTAATATTTATTAATAGATATGATTACTAATAATAATGATATTTAATAATAAAAATCAATTTCAATTAAACTTATTATTTTTGCTGTCATATTTTTTATGACATTATATGATTTCGCTTAAATTTTATTTACAAAAATTGCTGATATACTATCTATAAAAAAATAAAATTGTACTTAAAATATAAAAGGCCCGAAATTTTGTTAAGGATATTGCTGTATTTGTCTTTAAAATTTAGTAAATAAAGTATATTCTGTATGTTAACATACATATTGTAGTAAGAAAAAATTTATCAAATAAAATATTATATTATCTTTAAAATGAAAAGCTGAATGCTTTATAAATTATTGGATAGTTTCTAAATATTAATAGCTTAATTGCCCAATATGTAGATAAAAAATATATAGAATATTTAAAGATAATGAAGAATCAGAATTAATTTAAAATATAAACAAAGAAAATACATATATTTTAAAATAATATAATGCCATGTTTTCTAAAAAAAAACATTCAGTATAAATAAAATACAATTTTATCTATATTTTTAATAAATAAAAAAAATATATATTAACAATAAAATAAATAAAGATAATAACAATTATTTTTGATACACCTTTTTTATTATAAAGAACATTAAATTTTATGAGAACAAGAGAAGGTCTTCTATATATGTTAGGTTAAATATGTTCATCTTAATATTTTTTATTAAATATTTTATATATTGTTAGTCCTTTGGATTTATTACCTGAATGTATTTTAGGTATTTTAGGCTTATTTGATGATTTTATAGTTTTTAGTATTCTTTTAATTGTTTTAACAAATTTTTACTATCGTTATTTAATTAGATAGGATTAATAATTAATATAAATATGAAAAAAAAAGAAAAAGCTTATTAATTTTCAAAAACATTATTAATTTATAAAATAAAATAATAATATTTATAATAAATATTAATTAAAAGTCAAACTAATATACATTTATTTATAAAATTAAAAAAAATATCTAAATGTTATTTATTTTTATGAGAAAGTGCAGATCTAAGTGCTTTTTTCTACAATTCTATCGCTTATTTATTAAGTTAATAATAATTAAGTGCACAAATAGAATCTTATATTGAAAAAATTTCTCTTTAATCCATAGCGAATTCAATTATAAATATTAAAAACTTAAAATTTAATATATTTTTATTTTTATTTAAATTTTCATAATTTTATAAAAGAATATAAGATTATAACCATTATTAAGCCTCCTATATTGCTTTTTATATATCAACTTCATAAAAACAAATATTAAATGGAATTTTAGATTATTATTATTGATATTTTAATTTAGTTCTTTCAATTAAATAACAGACATTATATCTGTTTTAAGAATCGAAATTTGAAAGAAAGTTAACTAATATATTTTGAATTTTGTCAAGAAAATTAAATAGATCTTAATATTAAGGATTTTCATCTGAAAAAGAGAAAAAAGAATTAATGAAAATTATAAAATCATCTACGTTTATTTCTTAATCAACAAACTTTAACAAAACTTAAGCCAAAATAAGACATTATTAGAAATCTTAATATATTAAAATTGATTAAAAATGACTATTTTATTAAATAATTAAAGCTAAACAAGTTACAATATCTTAATCTTTCAAAAGTTCATCCGAAAAAAAATATTAACGAAAATTTTCGAATTTTTCAAGCAAAAAATTTTTATCACTTTCATCTAAAAGAGAATAGTTTTTTAGCATTTTATTTAATTATTTTTTTATAAGAAAATAATCTGTTTATGTAATTTGGAAATTTTCACTAATTTTTTTTAACTACGCATCTAAATATGATATATTATCTGTCAAAATAGATACAAAGAATTATATGCATTATTTTAGTACAGTATCAGGTATTTCAAATGACAATTTTTTTCTTAATTTTAGAATACATTTATATATTATAAATCTTATTTAATCTATTCCTCCAATATCTTCTAATTAATTATTATTTCGAAAATAATTGTGCCATTTTATATTAAATTAACTATCAAAAATATTCAAAGTGTATTCATCAAAATTATTTCTTTTTAAAATATTCAAAAAAAATTATTTAATTTTTTCTTTTAAATTCGAATCACCCATTATTTTTTGTGATTTTTCCTTTATATCATAAATTGTAGATTTTACGACTTTTTATATTCCTTAAATAAATTCTTAAATTGTTACGTTTGAAATATTTTCTATAAGTTTTTTAGTAGAATTGCTAGTTTCTACTAATTTGCTTAATTTTTCATAAAGAATTTACTCATAGTTTATCAGATTTGAAATTGTTCGTTTTTAATTTTAATTTTTTATATTTTTTAAGCTTTAAATATTAAATATTAACGAATTTTTTTATGATAAAATTTAAGAATTAGAAAATTCGCTTAAAAATATTTTTGTTAGAGTGGTATACTTTTCACTTTTTTTTAGAAAATCACTTTCTAAATATTCATATGTGCATTTTTTCTTCGGCTCTATACTTACTTATTTGTTTACTTCTATTAAAAGACTATTCAGAGTAGTTTATCGCTTAACAGATTTAATATTTTTTTATTTGATTTTTCTTCCTTTTCTTATATTTCATTTAATTTGCTAAATGTATTGGGTTTATTTTCCTTTTTATAATTATTTTTTATTTATTGATCTAATTAATGGATCATTGTTTGTTTTTGAAATTAGGACCGAGATATTTAACGAGGAAATATTTTTTGTATATATATTGTTTAAGATTTTTAAGGCTTTTCTTTTTTAACTGAAATTCTTGATTATTGAACATCAGGAGAATAATATTAGGGTATAAGCACTTTTGTTTATTATTAAGTATTTTAAGGATTTTCTTTTAAATATTACAAGTGAACTTAAAGCTTTTTATATTCCGATTTTTAATGCCTTTTTTAGGGAGAAGTTATACATTTTTCAGTTGATGAAAGCATAAACATTTTTAAGTTGTTAATTTTTCTTTTTTAATTAATTAATAATTTTATAATTATTTTTAAATATATTTTTATAATTTTAGAAAAAATAAAATAAAGCATTAAATATTATTTAAAATAACGTAATTTATGTTTATAAAATTATATTTTTAATAATCAAATAATTATCAATTATTTCGTTATGAATTCTATTATAATTTATAATAATAAAATAAATAAATAATCTTGAATAATAAAATAAATAATTAAATGATTAAATTAAAATATAATTTTTATATAATATCAATTCTAAATTTAATTAAATATAATTTAATATTTGTTTTATTAAATTAATTGAATTATTACATTTAGAAAATTTTGAAAGTTCTTAAAAGATAATGAAATTTATAATTGTTTTTTTAATATAAAAATTAATAATTTCTGATTATTTATAATACAATTTTAAAAAAAAAGAAAATTTATATACCTATTTTAATTTTTTCATTTATTACATATAAAATATAATATAATTATATAAGTAATAAATATCAGCAATTTTAGCAATATTTTAAAAATATATATATATATATATATATATATATATATATATATATATATATATATATATATACATTTATTTTTAATAAATATTGATTTTTAAAATTAATATTTCATTAATAATTAATAGTTTATTTAACACACATATCTAATAAAAATTAATATTACGATGAGTTTAAATGTTTAAAATGAACTAATTATAATTTTATATATATCTAGTAATAATTAAAAAGTTTCTAATTGACTTAATTTTCAGGAGTAGATTTAACTTCTAATATTTCATTATTTTGAATATTAAAATTTTAGAATTTAAAGTTAGTTAGTATAAAAGTATGCTTTTGTTTTAATTATTTTATTATTTCTCAAGTAAATAAGCATAATATTTCTAAACATGCTTGAAAAAAACAAGCTTTGTAAAATTTTGATGCGTCTTTTTACTTATGTTTTTTATTATTCATAATTGAATTAAACTTACATAATTTGTTTTTCCTTTATTTAAATATAAAGCAATCCAATCAGATTAAAACTCTTAAATTTTCGAAATTTAAATTTATTTTCTCTATTTTAATAATAATTATACGTTTCGCGATTTATTATGAACAAATAAATATATATATTAATTATGTTGAATAAAATTATAACTTTTAATTATTTTACAAATATAAATTCTCAAATATTTTACATATGAATGCAATCAATAAACCCAATAATCTTTTTACAAATATTATTTTTTATATATAATCACTAAATTTTTTCTCATAAAAAGCATTTGCTTACTTTTTATTAAATCCTAATTAAGGCTTAGTCTAAATTTTGTTTTGATAGCCAATAATAATCACTTATTTAATTAACTTTAAATAGTAAGCCTGAATTTATTTTATACCATACATTTGATATAAATAAAATTTTAGCAGGATAATAATTTTTATTTTAATTTTACAAAAATTTATTCATACATTTTAAATAACTACTTTAGTTTGCTTAATTTTTACTAAGTCTAATATTGTAACATATTTACTTTATTTATATTAAAAGTAAATTGGAATGACATATCCAGTAATTTCGTTTACTCTTTCAACCATGTCGATAGTTATTCCATCTTTCGAATTCATTTTTTATTTTTTTTATTGAAATAGTTAGTTATTATTGAGGTTACTAAATAACTGAAATATCCAAAAATTTCAAAGCTTAATTCATTATCCGAACTTAAATACTGTTTGTGAAATCTATTATATAGAAATCTTTAATAAATTCATTTTTATTAGATTCTATTACATTTAATTATTATTTCACAATTCACAATATTTCTATAATTTTAAATACTTTAATA